CACCTCCACTTTCCATATTTTCCATACAACCTCCCAATCAAAGTGTGAGGAGGGAGGCAGAGGGGGGGGCACGGAAGGTATGTGGTGGAGGGGTGTATCCCTGTATACACATATGTGGACTTCAATGATCTGGTTTTTTGCACTTCACTTGGTGGTATTAATATTTGAATGCTGTTCTTAGGGTCTTAAAATGTATATAGTAGCCATAATAGTAGCCTTAAAATGTATATAGTATGACAAACCCTAAGAACAGCATTCAAATATTAATACCACCAAGTGAAGTGCAAAAAACCAGATCATTGAAGTCCACCTTATTACAACTCTCACACCTGATCACCTATATATACATGAACTTACAGTCACAGCTCAACAGCTGGCCTCTGTAGCTCAGCTGGTTAGAGCGCTGCACCGGAATCGCAGGGCCGTAGGTTCAATTCCTACCAGAGGACCTTGTGCTGCATTTTTCGCAGTCGTTCCTGGTCAGGTCTTAAAATGTATATAGTAGCCACTTGGATGACAAACCCTAAGAACAGCATTCAAATACACATACAGACAAGCCTGGATCCTTCAGATATATCTACAGTACCTTGTTAAGAATGGTTTTATGTAAACTGTGCGTTTTTTGAATCAGAAGTTCACCATTTTCCTTTTTGTCAAGAAAATCTTTAAGCATATCCTAAAAGAAGAATGTGTAGCAAAGTTCATGAGCACAAAAGCTTGCTGTCTCACTGTCTGCATGAATGTGGTTTCTAAATTTTATTTCTAAGCATCTGTATCAGTTCTGCAAAGCTTTTCTTCCTAGGTATTATATCCAGTAAGAGCTTTATCTCGTTGGTCCATTGTTAATACAGGAGGGAATCTAAACTATATTTTAATATATTGGATAGCTCTATCACCAGACACCATCCATCTATTTCCTCATTGATAAAAATATGACATACCTCTTTAAGACATATATCTTCGTTCCAGTTGCCAACTCTGACTGATGGATTATATGTTCGTACACTCATTTTGTATTTACAGTATCTCAAACCTCTTACACTTATTATAAAAAATACAGAATTATAAATATGTATCTAAAAAAATGATCGTCGTTCTTCATGTAAACAAATTTGACGACGCACACTGTAACTATGGCAACACCATGAGTTACCGCTGAATATTACAGGCGTGTAAATTTTGAAATTTTGAAATGTGGTCAAATTATTGTAAAGTTTTGCCAAATTTCAATAATATTAAGATTCAGGAAACTACATTTTGCTTTTAGAAGAATATACAGTAGGATATTTTTTAATTATTTAGCTTTTTAAAAGAAAGCAATGGCGAAAAATTTTTTTTTTCCAATTTTGTTTCAAATACGAAACAGCTCAGTGCGAAACAGCGATTGAGGTATATGGAAACACTTAGCAGGAAATTTTGAACCAAGGAGATTTTGAATAATTTTAAGATTTTTTGGAAGAAATTGGAATTTTAAAATTAGCCTGCAAAGCTAATTTTTAATTCAAAGAGTCAAAGACAACCAAAGGTCGTAATATTATGATATGAATTAAAAGTCCTATATGTATAACATTGTAATCAGAAACTGTTTATTTGGTAAATTTCTATGTGTAAAGGCCCTTTCAAATTGTGTCAAATTTTCATGTGCTGGTCCACTGGTGAGACTGGTACCATCAAGCTGGTAGGTGACGTCATGTTTTTTAACTTTTATATTGTATTATTGTGTGGATAAACTGTCAATAGAGAGTTGCAAGACAACAAAGTAGAAAGACATAGTTGACAGTTTTTACACGTCTGCATATTATCGTGCACTGAGTTTGGGGTCACTGATGGTTGCTCAACATGTCTTCCTGTTATAGATTCATGTGTCAATGTTTATGAATATACTGCCTGTCTGATCCTAATTGTTATTCTGACACAGACGAAACAGCGAGATATGATAATACACCCTATCTTTGTTCTTCTGCCTTTGTTTTCAAAAATATATTTGTTATGAACGTTCAAGGCAGAAGAACAAAGACAGGATACAGATTGTGTAGGGTGCATATCGGGATGCTGTGATGAGCAGATGGTCTGATTAACCCATTGAGTGACAGCACTCCTCCCTTGATGAGCATAAGATCGTCTGGCATTAGACAGAGTAAAATAATAAAATAGGGTGCATTAGGGCACATTAGGGTAATATATGTAAATGACCATGTTAAATTCAACTGTCATTAAGCTTGTGCACACATGTTTTTTATCCATACAGATTTCTTATCTACATTATATTATGTTAACTATAACTGCATACATTTATGTACACAACAGTATACCCATGAAGTGATGCATTAGTCCCCTGGAACTTCCACCCAACCTGGAAATTCAAAATAGATGGATGCTAAACAAGTATAGATAATTTTGTACATATGGTCTAATTCCTTTTTCTGTAGCTCATTTAAAACCAACATGGACACTGGTGACAAAATGGAGGATGGTGCTTTGCCAAATGATAAATGGTCAAAGGAGTCTGTAGAATTATTTAACCAGCTAAATGAAATGGGCGGTGAATGGAAGAAGACGCGTCGAGATATGAGAGCAGGTGCCGATGGCTCAAGGATGTTCACGAACTCAGCTGAGCTTGAGAAGTTATTTCAATACGCATTCTTTCATAATGCAAAGCTCCAGTGTATAAAAGCAGTTGTACAGTTTGGACTTTATACAAGAGGTCCTGTTGGGTAAGTATACTGTAGGTGACACTATCCCATTGAATGCCAGCAATCCCTTTGACTAGTAAAATTGTCTGGCATATAACAGAATAAAATAATAAAGTAGCCTGGCACATTGGGGACCACATCTTGTCTTAGTCCTAATTAACCCCCACTTGATTTTAATGATTTTTTCCTATAGGCTTGTGCACGGTGGTGCTATTGCTACTATTCTCGATGTTGCTATGGGAAATTGTGCTATTTATTCTGGATATAGATCTATCACTGCAAATTTAAATGTGTATTATAAAAGGTAAATAAATGCCAATTATATGCATGTGCCCAGTCTTGTGCCTGATTTATAGGCCCTTTCCTTGTGATAGTATGTAGCTCCTAGTAATGAAATTACAATATAATTTTTAGGCCTATTCCTCTCAATACAACAACTTTGGTCGAGGCTAAAATTGACAAAATCGAAGGTCGTAAGGTGTTTGTATCAGGAGCGATAAAAACTGTCGATGGCTGTGCAATTTACTCCACAGCCACATCTATATTTATAATGCCTTTGATATTAAATACTGTGTAGGAAGGCTATTTATTTAGTTGTAATTTAGTCAACCTTGTACCTATTTTTCAGGGCCGTAGGAAGCTCTTTTCGATTGGGGGGATTTAGAGTCTCTAAAATGCCATTTCCTGGACTTTGGGGGAAGATTTAACAGAATTCTGATAGTCAGAAAACAGCGTTTTAGTATGTCGAAATTTACAGGAAAGTATGGGCCAGACTGTTACTTTATAAATGCGCGGCGGGAATTTTCGTCGTAAATGGCAGTTGCGCGGAAATGAAGGCAGAACATTTGAAAAAATTTCGAAAATCTGGAGTCTCTAGATGGTCTGAAATGGCATTTTCAGAGTTTTCTTTCGCAAGACCCAACACGCAAAAGACAAAATAAATCATTAGTTCATCAAAAATGTGCAGATTTTGTGGGATTTTCTTGAAAATGCGCGACAGAAATTCAGCTAAAATTTCTACGCGAGGAGCGATCTGGAGTATGAGTAATATCTTCATTCTTTGCAGTTTGTCACAGATTAAATGATAAAGTTTGCATGATTTTGAAAAAAGAATGATTATTAGCAAATTATTGGGGGGGCTGCAGCCCCCCCGGTTGCTACGGCCCTGATTTTTACAATCTGCCAGGCGCTCATGTTATCATCCACATTTTAATGTATGTCTGTGTTTGTCTGTTAGCACAACAATTCAAAAGAATATCAAACATAGTATTTAATACAAAAATTTGTACAGCTAAATGCTAATTGACCAAGGAGAATCATTTAAATTTTGGTTCAATTTGGACGAAAACTGAATGCGAAATTATCAAAGGTTTGTCTCGCTGCATTTGCTGGGTGGAAAAACTAAATTGTATAATTTATGCATGATACTTCATTTAATTTGCTGGTGGAGGTCTACAGTCTCCTAGTGCCCCTGTAGTTGCAAAATATGTTTGCAAAATATAAAGATTATTTGCCAAATATAAGGATTATATTTGAATACGTCCTTGGCTTGGGGCATGCGCCTTGACCTTGGAATGAAGACGAAAAGCAATTGGGTTACGATTTGTGCAAATGAGGCTCACAAGTAGAATTGTGATGTTTATCCCACAACCCCAGAATACTGAAATGAGTGAAGTCTGTTGCCCTTGCTTGCCTCCAGATGATAAAATTTAATAACTCAGGGTTAGGGGTGGAGTGGGGGTAGGGAACATTATAATAAGGGTTACATGAAGTATATACCTAAAAATGGCCAGTTACCAAAAATGTCGTGGGCTCAGGATAGTTGCTTTGGACTAATATAAATAGGTGAGTGTAAAAAAAAATTATAATAAATTATCACTATTTTGATAGTGTTCTAGAATAGTTTTCTGGGAAATTTTACTTCTTGAGACATTTAATTATACAAGAACAATTTCTTAAAAGGTACTATTAGTACTTAGTACAAGGTTTAATTAATATATGCACATTTTTAATAAATTTTTAACTTCATTTATAGCACAATGCCACAAATTAATATTGTCATGTCAAGAAAATAATTTCTTTGACCTGCTAACACATCGCTGCGTAGAACTTGTTTCTAGAAGTTGTACGAATTGAGATGTTCAACCGCCATGTAGTTTTGCAAAGCCATATATATTTATATGTAGTCTATTTAGTTCTATTAAACTACATTTATGTATCCATGAATAAGCTCCCGGCCACTCAAATGGTACAAGTATATAATAAACAGGTTATCATAATTGGGACGAGGCAATGTTATCGCTTTCAGGACAAAATCATAAATGTCCCTTGTTTGATGCGCTCATGCACTCGTGACATTTATGATATCGTCCCTCAAGCGATAAAACTGATATCTCCTCGCCCCTCATATGATAACCTGTATACATTTAATAACATTTTGTATGGCTTAATTTCTTTTTTCTCAGCTCATTTATTAAAACTAACATACACACTGGTGACAAAATGGAGGATGGTGCTTTGCAATTTGATAAATGTTCAAAGGAGTTTGTAGCATTATTTAACCAGCTGAGTAAAATGGGCAGTGACTGGAGTGTGATATCTATAAAAGATCCAAGAATATCAAGACCATCTGATGGCTCCAGGTCATTTATAAATGCAGTTGAACCTGAGAAGTTATTTCAATATGTATTTTTTGAAAACACAAAGCTGCAGTGTGTGAAGGCAGTCGTACAGTTTGGACTTTATACAAGAGGTCCAGTTGGGTAAGTAAGTTATTAATAACCTTTTAAGTCACAATACGCCCTAATGTGCCCTATGTTATTACTGTACTCTGTCTAATATACTAGATGATTTTACTTTCCAACTGTCATATTCGGCAGATAATTTTACTGGCCAATTCCAAGCTAGGTAAAAGTTTGGGCATCAAACAGCTAGGTTAATGCATTAAGCTTCAATACACCGAAATTTAGCATTTTACTCTGTCTAATACCAAGGAGAGAGTCTATCTGGCACATTAATGTATGGGTTGACCAAACTATACAGTCGAACCTCGATTGAACAGCCCTCCATTAAGCGACCACTCTCTATTAAACAGCCACATATCAAAGTCCCGAAATTTTTGTAATACAAATACTATAAACTATCCCTCTTTTAAATGGCCACCTCTATAATTAAGCGGCTGTGGACACCCAATTAAAGAGCGGTCCCAAATGATGAGAACCATTATTAACCATATTGGTGTCCTAGTAATAAATTTATGCCACAATAGTCCCTAAATGTTTGTTCAAAGGTTTAGTGTGAAATGTATATGATCGTGTGATGGCCTCGTGTTGTTGACACAAATATGTATGCCTGTGAAAAAAATGTTATAGCTAGTAGATGAAACTGAGAATTAAAGATAAAATCACTATTGTATTGTGTGATTTATAATTAAAAATTAATAGACATTTGACTACGCCCAGGGTCTATTATTTGCATACTTCTATTTAGCGGACACCTCTATTAAGCAGCCACAAAGCTGATCCCTGAGGGTGGCCGCTTAATAGAGGTTCGACTGTATCTGTCAGTGTGTCTTGAGCCTATAGTATGTCTCTTGTTGTTGTCCACTCCTGACCTTGTTTTATGGATCTGGATTCCAGTATCTGATATCCAGCAAAATATAAACATATCCAGTGGTATCTGGTAAACTTTTTCATTATCTACCAGATAGTAGTGGAACTTTAATTATAACTACAATCAATCTGTTTTGTGTTAAGATATTGTGAAACACAAACAACTAGTCTGCTGGACATATGTGACACATTAACCCTTTTTAAAGTGGCAATGCACCCTACTTTAGTATTTTACTCTGTCTAACTGCTCCCTGCTGTATCTGATGTTCCTTGTGCCACATACTAAACAGACAATGGAATTTTAATGACAGAAAGTTAGTGATGTATTGTCCAAGTACTGTACCACCATCGGTATCTGGTTATTATCCAATAGACTACAATCCAGTAAGGCAATATATTCAACACATCCCTACCTTGATTTAATATTTTTTTACCTGCAGGCATGTTCATGGTGGCGCTATTGCCACTATTCTTGATATTGCTATGGCACAATGTGCTGGAAATGGATCTGTGACTGTAAATTTAAATATCGAGTATAAAAGGTAATACATATATATGTATACAATTAAAGGTGACCTAGCTTAAGTGGCAATCTGCCCAGATGAACCCTATATATGTTCTTTATTATTTTAATCTGTCTAATGTCAGACATTTTTACTTATCAAGGGGATAGTGCTGCCTTAATAGGTTAATATCACACCTGCCAATGAAAGACTGTTATTGTCTGTTTAAATTGGCAACAATGCACCCTACTTTATTTTTTACTCTGTCTAATGCCAGACAATTTTATTCATCAAATACTTGTCATGGGGAGAGACTGGCTGACAATGCATTTGCCATACAACATTTGTTACATCATTCTATAGTCTAGTACATTTACACACTATTGCACTTAAGATGGATGCTCTTATAATTGCATTTCTGAGATCATACCTACAGTACAGGTAAATTTTTTCTATTGGTTAGAATTTTCCTCTGAATTTCTCCTTTTATCTAAATCATTACAATCTTTCTTTCTTTCTTTCTTGGGGAAATATTTTCTGGGAACTCAAAAAAATTTTCTGGGACCAATGGTCCTGTGGTCCAATATTTTTTCTACCCCTGACAGTATCTTTTAGTAATGAAATTATAATATAATTTTTAGGGCTGTGCCTCTCAATACAACAACTTTGGTCGAGGCTAAGATTGACAAAATCGAAGGTCGGAAGATGTTTTTATCGGCAGCAGTAAAATCTGTGGATAGCTGTCAAATTTACTCCACAGCCACATCTATATTTGTAATTCCTAAATCAAAGGCTTCTTTATAGGAGAGCATTTATTTTAGTTGATATAGGCATTCACACCCACCTCATATCTACGGTCCTTTCCATACCCATAAACAGCGGAATGGGGGGGGAACTTTCAAATGTAGGGGGGGGGGACGGGGGGGGACGAAGTCCCCCAAAAAAGATTAGAGTAAAAGAATTTGAAAAATTGGCAAATTTAGAGATATACTTGCCACAAGTCGACCTTGAACGAAACGCACAATGAGGAAATCGGTTTAAAGGAGGTATTAAAAATATCAAGAAGGTATATATATTTATATATATAATGGTAAAGAAAAAGTTTTATACATTGCCATTGGACAATTTCATGAACGTCTGGAAAATGTATGGAAATTGCTCCCCAAAAAAAAAAACCCAAACTAGTCCTTTTTCTATTTTGCAGTTCATCAGTTCATGCAGAAATTATACAATGGGCTAATTATGCATTCCGTTTTCTCTGCCCTGAAAAGCGAGACAAACTTTTGCTAATTCCTCATCCATATTTAACCAAAATTTTAACATAAAACGTGACTTAACATACTTTTTAAATTTGTTTGCCGCTTGAGAAACGTATAAAAAATTTAAAAAAAATTGAATTTAGTCATAACCAAGTATTCAGTTTTCTCTGCCTTGCAAGGCGAGACAAACTTTCGCAAATTTTTCATCCAACTTTCATCCATATTTAACCAAAATTTTAACATGAAACACTAAACATACTTTTTAAGTTTTGGTAGCTTACGCTCTGGTTAGAATATTGCGAATGAGGCGTGAAGCATATAGCCTGTAACTAAATGTCTTTCACTAAGAATGGGGCCATTGTATTGTTGCGACGGTATATGTAAGAAGAGTTGATTGATTAAACCCAAGTGCATGAGGTGTTCACGTGCTGTTGCCAAGGTTCAATCTCTTTTGGCAGCATGATTAGAAAGTAATGCCTTGTTTTCCAAGTGCAGTAGTTTTTATGACAGATTGGCATTTCCATAAGGCAAATAGAGTCTTCTTTGACATATTACTTCATTAACCACAATTTATTGCGTTGCATAAATTGCATATTTACCGCTTGAGAAAAGTGTCAAAAATTTAAAAAAATTGAATTTGACTAACCAAGTGGAAAAGCATATTCATTAATTTTGAACGCTTGTTACGTAACATACAAAAGATTCTCCTCGTAAAATCTACGAGTATTTGCTAGATACTCAGAGAGTTATTTTTACTGCAACACTGCAGGACAGTGCAATATAATACCCCCAGCAGTACATCTCTCCTGCAAACATTATGCAACGAGATGATTCCACACTAACCCGCTAATCAATCTTCATAAATGGCCCTGTCAGACACCCACTGATCTCCCGCTAAACACAAGATTAAAATACGTAAAATAAACACGTCAAGATTAGTTGGTGTGGAAATGTGAACATCTATTGTAAAGGAACTGTTACATTTTGCCTCTCAAACAATGCAGCTGATATGAAGACAAAGACTGGATTATTACCGAGTAGATTTTTGACTTCGTGTTATAAGTGTAACAATTAAGCTTTAGTGAAAATTAATATTATAATTTTTTAATGTTTATTGTTTTTCTCTTTGGATCATCTTCCCACTCATATCATTTAATGTACCTCTATTTCCTCTGTCAAAGACATTCGGTATTAGGCATGTCCCAATTGTGCTCGGCAACTTTTGAACAACTTTTTGCGTTTGGAGTTCGAGCAACTTCAAGCAACTTTTTCCTTTTTGAGCAATTTTTGAGCAACTTTTCACTAGAGTACAAACTTTACAGAATGAAATGTTTACATGCGATAGACAACTTCATTTTCTTGCTTCTCACGAGCAAAGACCGTTGGTACGAGGTTGCTGCGCATTTTCTGTCATATTTTTCTGTCTTATTTTTAAATTTTTTTATGACCTTTGTTTTGTTATTTGTAAAACTTTTGTAAAGAAAATGTTTTCTCTTTATAATTCCAAACAATTTATCCGGGCTTACGGAAATTGTATAATGCTTTTAATTAACGTATGTCGTGAAATTAACGTAAAGAGTACAAACTTTTTGAATTTTTGTAGCAACTTTTTATATTTCGGGCAACTTTTGAGCAACTTTTATGCTTTTTAGAGAGCAACTTTTTTGTTTTAGAGAGCAACTTTTTTGGATTTTATGAGCACAATCGGGACATGCCTAATCGGTATTCTCACTACCTTCCCAAACTTGAGTCTTGAATGCGCACTTGCAAGACTTGATGCTTATTATTTACCATTAATGGCATTTTCCTGTGGACAGGAGAAAAGAAAAGTACGGTAATTGTAAATATTAATCATGGTTTTTACCAGTTAATTATGTGGGAAATCTATAATAGCCAATAATGGTAAGAGTACTCATTTTTCAAATTCAAAACCCCTTGGAAAGTTCATTTTCCCCCCTGTAAATATATATAATATTCTTTGTCTTTACTTTGTCATCCTACGTTGCTTTACGTCGTCACGAGAAGGCGGGATGTACTGCCATATCCTGTATAAATCCTGTCTCAGTTAACATGTTTAAATGTCTGTTTATCCAGCGACGTTATCTCCGGCACAGGCATGCGTAGTTGATCAGAACAGGAAATTAGCTCGATATCAAGTATGAATATTGACGCAACCTACAGTGTGATAGATCAGGACACTATTGTCTCATTTTCTTTAAATAGAGTATGGTGTCTTGTAGAGAGGCGAGGTCCCAGGGGCTTATTTATTTTGGTCATGCGGTTTGAATCTGAATAGAGAGAGTTTGAATAGAGAGGGTGGGGTGTGATTAGAGAGGGTGTCTAGTTTGTTTGTTTTTGGGGGG